ACAAGAAGAACTATAAAAAAAAAACGTATAGTTCATCTTGTGCATGTCAAGTTATGTGACATTTTTTCTTTTCTTTCAGATGATATATGTACACTTTTAGAAAATTAGTTAATTTGGTATATAAAAACACTTAATGACTGTGTTGTTCAGTATAATAAAACACCTAATGACTGGTTGTGCGGGTAATAGCAAGTTTGTAGTCCCTTCGCATACCAACTATTGCTCTTGGCTTTGCCTCGAGCAATAGTTGGTATCTCAGGGACAACAAACTTGCTATTACCCTCACACCCAGTCAATAGGTGTATAATGTTTTTAAAGGAAATGTTGCAGTTATTCATAAAAGTTATATTTTCATCCACAAAAAGATTCATTATTGTTTGCCCCTAAGGCTAAGGGTTGACTGGGGTATAGAAATGAGGTAATCTCCTGGACTTTTCACATCCAGCAATAATATCAGATATAAAGTCATAAAGGGGTACATAGATGTCCATAGATACCCTGTTCAGTGGCAGTTCAAATTCTCCCACTCCCCCCACTTCATTCTGGTAAACCCACTTTGCAGAACCTACATAGTGCATTGAGTGATAATTAGTTTTCATTTTGAATATCCTTGAAATATTTGCCACTGGATATTATGCAAACAACAGTCAATCACTCATTATTTATTGCTGAAATCTTATTTACTCAATTCATGACAGGTTAAATTTGGGATCTGTCATCGATTAAATTGTTAACACATTTAAAATCTGTTTAAACATAAAAAATCTCTATTCGTAAAAAAACATGTTATGCAACTTAAAAGCTGTCTTTTTGTGAAATATAAATTCTTTCCAATCAGATAGTTTCAATTTATAACAGTTGATATTGGGCAATATAGCAATATGGTACTATATAAAATGTTCCCCAGAAAGTAAATGGAAGGATGAATATCAGGGCATAGAGACACAACATTTTATTTATTAATCATAGTTCAAAATCTGTGCTTGAAACACCATATCCAGTTATTTTGATTGGTTGAATTCTGAGTCTGAGTACCATAATCATACTCCAAATTTCTATGACTGCAAGGCCTGATAAATATCCATTGGGTAATATTTGGAGAACAACTTCATAGATGCAAACCCAGTTTTTTAATTCACTTTGCCAGTTACCATGGCTGTGAATTGTTAACTCTTCATTGCATCTGACTTCTGTCCCTAATGTGCTGATACCATCTAGTCTTAGACATTTTTGTCGAGCCTTCGACTTTTGTCGAAAAAGCGAGACATAGCGATCCTACATTCCGTCGGCGTCGTCGTCGTCGTCGTCGTCGTCGGCGGCGTCCACAAATATTCACTCTGTGGTTAAAGTTTTTGAAATTTTAATAACTTTCTTAAACTATCCGTGATTTCTACCAAACTTGGAAAGAAGCTTGTTTATGATCATAAGATAGTATCCAGAAGTAAATTTTGTAAAAAAAAAATTCCATTTTTTCCATATTTTACTTATAAATGGACTTAGTTTTTCTGCCAGTTAACATTACATTCACTCTGTGGTTAAAGTTTTTGAAATTTTAATAACTTTCTTAAACTATCCTGGATTTCTACCAAACTTGGACAGAAGCTTGTTTATGATAATAAGTTAATATTCAAAAGTAAATTTTGTAAAAAAAAATTCCATTTTTTCCGTATTTTACTTATAAATGGACTTAGTTTTTCTGCCAGGAAACATTACATTCACTCTGTGGTTAAAGTTTTTGAAATTTTAATAACTTTCTTAAACTATCCGTGATTTCTACCAAACTTGGAAAGAAGCTTGTTTATGATCATAAGATAGTATCCAGAAGTAAATTTTGTAAAAAAAAAATCCATTTTTTCTGTATTTTACTTATAAATGGACTTAGTTTTTCTGCCAGTTTAAACATTACATTCACTCTGTGGTTAAAGTTTTTAAAATTTTAACAACTTTCTTAAACTATCCTGGATTTCTACCAAACTTGGAAAGAAGCTTGTTTATGATCATAAGATAGTATCCAGAAGTAAATTTTGTAAAAAAAAAATTCCATTTTTTCTGTATTTTACTTATAAATGGACTTAGTTTTTCTGCCAGTTTAAACATTACATTCACTCTGTGGTTAAAGTTTTTAAAATTTTAACAACTTTCTTAAACTATCCTGGATTTGTACCAAACTTAGACAGAAGCTTGTTTATGATTAAAAGCTAGTATCTAGAAGGAAATTTTGTTCCATTTTTTCCGTATTTTACTTATAAATGGACTTAGTTTTTCTTCCAGTTAACATTACATACAGTCTGCAGTTTAAGTTTTTAAAACATTTATTAGATTCATAAACTATCCTGGATTTTTACCAAACTTGGACAGAAGCTACTTACAATCAAAAGATAGTATAGAGAGGAATATTTTTATTAATTTTTTTCCTCATTTTTGCTGAGCCTGTGATTAACAGCAAAAAGTAGGCGAGACACTGGGTTCCGCGGAACCCTTACGAATTTTTCTTCATAGCAGGTAAAAGAAATGTGAATGAAAATATTTCTCACAGCATTGGTACCAAGTGATGTTACTGTGGTTCTGATTGGATACTCACAGCATTGGTACCAAGTGATGTTACTGTGTTTCTGATTGGATACTCACAGCATTGGTACCAAGTGATGTTACTGTGGGTCTGATTGGATACTCACAGCATTGGTACCAAGTGATGTTACTGTGTTTCTGATTGGATACAACAGGGCTGCTATCATAGCAAAAATACTGTAAAATCAGAAATTATTGTGTGCTTTGATTATTGTGATTTTTTTTAAATGAACAAAAATGCTAAATTAATTATTGCAATTTTAAAAATCTGCATATATGTTGTTGTATCAGATATAAAAATGTGAATTCTTTTTATTGCAATACTCACCCAGTTGCATTATTCGCATTAATAAAAACCTTGCAATAATTTCTGAATTTACAGTAAGGTTTTCTGATTCTTCAAAAATATTCTTGAAAATACACGACACAACCAGTTGAAACTAAGCACAGGTAAACCTAAGGATAAACTGTAACTTTAATAGTGTCCAATTTACCTACTATATATATATACAGTGTAGAAGTTAAGTTTTATATTGGACTCAACTGGAAACATGTAATAAAAAATTGAAAAATACTGAACCAATTGAATTCAGTATTTTGGAGACGGTTTCTTTTGGAGTGCATGTATTTACCCAGTTTTGTTACTCGGGAGCCTACAAATGATCTAGTATGACAACCAGGTTTGAGTTTTGCTTTATATTGCTCAATATAGGGAAAAAATAGATATACTTATAGATTATTACATGGCATTTTCCATATTGGCCCTGGTATCAGCCCTAGACTCCCATATCAAGCCAGAGGGCTTTAGCCCGAGGGCTTGATATGGGTCGTGGGCTGATACCACGGACCATATGGAAAATGACATGTAATAATCTATTTATCACATATTTTCAAGCAAGAGAAAAAAGATAGCATATACCAAATTATGTTTGATATTTTCAACAAAAATTCAAAAAAACATTTAACGAAAAAAATTTAAAAAATGTATCACAGTGAGTTAACAAAGTTCATATCCCAGTGAGTAAACAAAGTTTTGTGAAAAGTTTAACAAATAATTAACAATAAATATATTAATTCTCAGAATTGTAAATATTAAACGACTTAAAGTGTTACATTTCCAATTAATGCTGACGAAGAATACACCATAACGCTACTATGATTTGGAAATATGTTCCGCTTGAACTTTCGATGTCATACAACAATCACTTTTTCATTGTGGCGTCATATATTTTCTAAATTCTTTATGACGTCCAAATTTTATGGGAACTTTTGTGATTTCCACTGTTGATTTTTTACATTTTTTCTACTACAGCAGATTCGTAAATTTCTAAATTTCTTTTCATTGTGTTCTCATTTTTCATTTCTTGTATGAATTTACATACATTGTCATTTGATCTGTGAGAAACCTCTCCTGATCGTCTAACTGCTTCGGATGACAACTTGTTTACAAATAGTTTTTGATTGACAGGTTACCGGAAGTTAAACTCGGGGGCTCGATATGGATTTCAAGGGCTGATATCGATATTGGCCTAGAGGGCTGATAACCAACCTTGACTTCCAGCTATTATTGGCCATGCAAAAACGTACATATCAGTACAAAATATGTGATAAAAATAGTTATTATGTTCGTGAAAATTAATAAAAATTCAAAATTCTGAAGAACAACACTATTTTTGAAGAAAAAAATTTATCAAATGAATGCATATCAACATTTCACTCTATTGCTGACAAACTCATAATTAGGATATTGTTGAAGATAATCCAGCACATTTCATCATAAAGAACAATAAAAGCACTGTTTTCCTAGAATTTTAAAGGGAAATTTTGCTACTTTTGTGATTTAGATAAAATCCTGAAAACATTTCTAAGGCTTAATTTGGTCAGCATCTGGGACATAGAAAAAATGTGAAAATAAAACTTGTTAACAGGTTTGTCCATTAAAAGTAAAAAACAATATCTCGTGAGATTTATGTCCCTTTGTTTTTCATTCTACAGTATCTCGTGAGATTTATCTCCCTTTGTATTTTTCATTCAACAGTATCTTATGAGATTTATGTCCCTTTGTTTTTTTCATTCAACAGTATCTCATGAGATTTATGTCCCTTTGTCTTTTTCATTCAACAGTATCTCATGAGATTTATGTCCCTTTGTCTTTTTCATTCTACAGTATCTTGTGAGATTTATGTCCCTTTGTCTTTTTCATTCAACAGTTTCTCATGAGATTTATGTCCCTTTGTCTTTTTCATTCTACAGTATCTTGTGAGATTTATGTCCCTTAGTCTTTTTCATTCTACAGTATCTTGTGAGATTTATGTCCCTTTGTCTTTTTCATTCTACAGTATCTCGTGAGATTTATGTCCCTTTGTTTTTCATTCTACAGTATCTCATGAGTTTTACCTCCCTTTTTTTTTCATTCTACAGTTTCTCGTGAGATTTATGTCCATTTGTTGTTTTTTTTAAATTGTGAATCTAATTTTCAGCAACAGATAATGCAGCTGATTACAAGCAAAGATAGTTGTATACTAGGTGAAAAATCAGCTGATTACATTGGTATTGAAGAAATTACATGTGACATAGATTTCCAAGTATTATCCAGTGATATGGGGATCAAGGAAGTCACATTTGATCACATTTTTGCATCAGGCACTGAATTAACAGAAGGTGCAGTATCCAACCAATTTACAGAAAAAGAAGGCGGAGCTTGTATAGGAGAAGATTTTATCGATAAAAAACTGAAAGAAGAAGATGAGAGTGGTGCTGACTTTGGGAAATTACCATCCTATGAGGTGAGTTTGGCTATTGTGTCGGTTCAGGATGTAGGTTTGAAATAGTAAATCTGCTTACGGATATTGCATGATATTTGATACATTAGGTGATTTGACTTGATTTTTGTGATTTTTCCATGATTGCAAAGTTTGCGACAGAATAGGTTTCAGACAAATGAAAATTTACATATTTATACTAACACAATAAGTTTTGGGGGGTTATGGCTCAAACCGTTTTAGAATAAGGGACAAAAAAGGGGGAAAAACAAGGGTTTCCTGGTTAATGGACAATTACTTAAAAGTACAATGTTATGTTTGGATTACCTCCCTTACACTGCTTTTAAATTATGTATAAAGAAATGTTGTATTGTCTTGAGGTGATTAGCTGTCAAGTTATTTTTAGAAGTTACTATTAAAAAATGCTGATTAAGGAATATTAATTTTAGCCATGATTATGTATGTCATTTTCTATTTTAAGACTTTTATGATGTATTTAAATGGGTAATTATGGTTGCAAACTCCATTGGAAATTTGAATTGAGATTATGATCATATCTTGAGGGAAAGATTTTTTTTAGGCAGTTAAGCTGCCTTATGCGAGCACCCTAGATTTGTGTTCTACCCAATAAATGCTGAAATACGTGCCATTGTTATTATCTAGCTGGCTATTATGTTATTTATAACTAATTGGACATTTTTTTAATACTTTTATTTCTGGAATACAAAAAATATGACCAGAAAAACCTTAAATGATCGTCGAACTACCCAAAACTTTTGAAGTTGCACATAGGAAGTAGTGCTCAATAGAAATCCGTACGTAGTTTATTATCCCCTGTGCTTTTGGCTACGATGTCAAAGAACAATTGTATGAAATATTTCATCGCCGAAAATCAGTAATTACAAGTCATTTATATTTCCCAAATGGCAAAATGCGCAGGAATATTGTTCATGTACAACAAATCTCTATGATAGAGGAAATAAAGTTATATAAGTGGGTGGTTATTTCTAACTTATCTTGCCAAATAAGGTTGTTGTTATTTTATGAATGAAACGAGGTCATGAAAACAGATGCGGAAATCGACGTTGATGGGATGTTTTAAGTAATGTGGACAACTCGTCCCCAAGACAAGTCGGACCGAATCCACTCAAACCGTCTAAGAAGACAACTTTGACCGTTTGTCAGATTTACTTAGGGTTTCATAAAAATATGAGACTAACATGTCTAGCGGAGCCATTAATCTTTTGTTTGTGCATTGGGGTCTATTTAGGGGTATTTGGAGGGGCCTCAAGAAGGGAGGGGTTTACTATAGAACCCTATGGGATTTTTATATTTTTAAATTTTCAAATGACTCAGTAGGTGATAGACACATGCAGTCTTCAGTAATGAGAACAGGACAATACAAAACATCAACCAAAATATAGGGTGAGTCCCTGGGGGTCATCCCAACCCCCTTCAATTTGAAGATGTACTTTTATCTTGTAAACCGTCACGTTCCCCACCCCTAAACAATATATATACTTGAATGGGACAATAAAAGAAATCAAATGAAAATAATTTTGGGGAGTCCCCAGTACCGTCCCACCCCCTCCTGTTTGAGAACTTGGAAATAGTCAAGATCCCCACCCCTAAACCATATATATTCATGTATGAGACAATAAAACAAATCAAAAATGAAATATAGAGTGAGTCCCTGGGGTCACCCCACCCCCTCCTGTTTGAGAACTTGTAAACTGTCGAGATCCCCACCCCTAAACCATATATATTCATGTATGGGACAATATAACAAATCAAATGAAATATATGGGGAGTCCCTGGGGTCACCCCAAGCCCTCCTGTTTGAGAACTTGGAAATGGTTGAGATCCCCACCCCTAAACCATATACATTCATGTATGGGACAATATAACAAATCAAATGAAATATAGGGGGAGTCCCTGGGGACACCCCCGCCCCTCCTGTTTGAGAACTTGTAAACAGTCAAGATCCCCACCCCTAAACCATATATATTCATGTATGGGACAATATAACAAATCAAATGAAATATATGGGGAGTTCCTCGGGTCACCCCCCCCCCCCCCCCTCCTGTTTGATAACTTGTAAACAGTCAAGATCCCCACCCCTAAACCATATATATACATGTATGGGACAATATAACAAATCAAATGAAATATATGGGGAGTTCCTCGGTCACCCCCCCTCCTGTTTGATAACTTGGAAATGGTCGAGATCCCCACCCCTAAACCATATATATTCATGTATGGGACAATAAAACAAATCAAATGAAATATTGGGGGGATCCATGGGGTCACCCCACCCCCTCCTGTTTGAGAACTTGTAAACAGTCGAGATCCCCACCCCTAAACCATATGTTTTCATGTATGGGACAATATAATAAATCAAATGAAATATAGGGGAGTCCCTGGGGTCACCCCACCCCCTCCTGTTTGAGAACTTGTAAACGGTCGAGATACCCACACTTAATATATATATACTTGAATGGGACAATAAAAGAAATCAAATGAAAATAATTTGGGGGAGTCCCCAGTATCGTCCCACCCCCTCCTGTTTGAGAACTTGGAAATGGTTGAGATCCCCACCCCTAAACCATATATATTCATGTATGGGACAATAAAACAAATCAAAAATGAAATATAGAGTGAGTCCCTGGGGTCACCCCACCCCCTCCTGTTTGATAACTTGGAAATGGTCGAGATCCCCACCCCTAAACCATATATATTAATGTATGGGACAATAAAACAAATCAAATGAAATATAGGGGGAGTCCATGGGGACACCCCACCCCCTCTTGTTTGAGAACTTGTAAACAGTCAAGATCCCCACCCCTAAACCATATATATTCATGTATGGGACAATAAAACAAATCAAATGAAATATAGGGGGAGTCCATGGGGACACCCCACCCCCTCTTGTTTGAGAACTTGTAAACAGTCAAGATCCCCACCCCTAAACCATATATATTCATGTATGGGACAATATAACAAATCAAATGAAATATAGGGGGAGTCCCTGGGGACACCCCCGCCCCTCCTGTTTGAGAACTTGTAAACAGTCAAGATCCCCACCCCTAAACCATATATATTCATGTATGGGACAATATAACAAATCAAATGAAATATATGGGGAGTTCCTCAGGTCACCCCCCCCCTCCTGTTTGATAACTTGTAAACAGTCAAGATCCCCACCCCTAAACCATATATATACATGTATGGGACAATATAACAAATCAAATGAAATATATGGGGAGTTCCTCGGTCACCCCCCCTCCTGTTTGATAACTTGGAAATGGTCGAGATCCCCACCCCTAAACCATATATATTCATGTATGGGACAATAAAACAAATCAAATGAAATATAGGGGGGATCCATGGGGTCACCCCACCCCCTCCTGTTTGAGAACTTGTAAACAGTCGAGATCCCCACCCCTAAACCATATGTATTCATGTATGGGACAATATAACAAATCAAATGAAATATAGGGGAGTCCCTGGGGTCACCCCACCCCCTCCTGTTTGAGAACTTGTAAACGGTCGAGATACCCACACTTAATATATATATACTTGAATGGGACAATAAAAGAAATCAAATGAAAATAATTTGGGGGAGTCCCCAGTATCGTCCCACCCCCTCCTGTTTGAGAACTTGGAAATGGTTGAGATCCCCACCCCTAAACCATATATATTCATGTATGGGACAATAAAACAAATCAAAAATGAAATATAGAGTGAGTCCCTGGGGTCACCCCACCCCCTCCTGTTTGATAACTTGGAAATGGTCGAGATCCCCACCCCTAAACCATATATATTAATGTATGGGACAATAAAACAAATCAAATGAAATATAGGGGGAGTCCATAGGGACACCCCACCCCCTCTTGTTTGAGAACTTGTAAACAGTCAAGATCCCCACCCCTAAACCATATATATTCATGTATGGGACAATATAACAAATCAAATGAAATATTTGGGGAGTCCCTGGGGTCACCCCACCGCCTCCTGTTTGAGATCTTGGAAATGGTCGAGATCCCCACCCTTAAACCATATGTATTCATGTATGGGACAATATAACAAATCAAATGAAATATAGGGGGAGTCCCTGGGGTCACCCCACCCCCTCCTGTTTGAGAACTTGGAAATGGTCGAGATCCCCACCCCTAAACCATATGTATTCATGTATGGGACAATATAACAAATCAAATGAAATATAGGGGGAGTCCCTGGGGTCACCCCACCCCCTCCTGTTTGAGAACTTGTAAAAGGTCGAGATACCCACATCTAAACCATATTTATTCCTGTTCATCATTTCAAAAAGATTTGAATGACATACAGGGTCAATCTCCTTGGTGTCACATATGCATATCACTTTACTAGACCAAACCAATATGAACTGGACTTTGCCCAATGTCAGGAGACCATGGGAATGACGAATTATGGGGGCTTTGTTTGGGAGATTTTGTAAAGGCATCCTGTTACAATTATTTCTTGTTTATTATAAAAAAAAATTGATGCAAAAAATGAGTCTAGATTATTGAATTTACTTTAATTGTTTATTAAATTATTTCTGGGCCTATCATAATTTTCATTTATGGCTCATTTTAAAGAAAACATTTAAATCTTTCAAGCAGTGTAAAGCCCAAGAATGTTTGACCAACTGTTTTATAATCACCTGTCATTTTATTCCAAACTAGGTATGGAGTCACATCATGCACTTGGGGATGAAGATGGGGGTCATTTACATTGATATATGAAAACCTTGATGAAATATTAATTAATTTGCCTTAATAATCAATTCATTTATTGAACATAAATGTACAATATACGAATGTTTAATGTTTGTTCTTTCAAATCTTAAAAAAAGATTGAAGCAACATTGCCACAGTTTTCATAATTACATTTGCCTTGGTTTTTGGTTAACTGCCTACAGCGCTTACAGTGCTTTGATTTTGAAAAGGAGGGGGGAGGGGGTGGTGAAAAAAATTGGGGGGGGGGGGGGGGGTGGTGAAAAA